GGAAACATGGAATCATATTTGATAAAGAACGCATCCATTGTCCAATTTAATTACAAAACTAAAAAACTTACACTGAACTAAAGTGATAAGCTCACGTGTTCATGATGGATGCCGAACAAAAAGAGTAACGGCTACTCAGTTGCAAATATACTCGACAAACCCGATTGATTAATGTGGTCGGTACACTTAGTCAGAGAGTATATTACGTCGATCGGAGTAGCTGGTACTCCGATGAAAAGTATAGGTGCTGCCATGTCAAATATGAGTAGCCTCTAAACTTGAAGAGTAGGGGGCGCGCCGAATCTTTTTCAGTGTATGTGTTTGTGTGTAAGTCTGTGTTTCCCTCTCCACCGCTTCTCTCACATGCGCGGTACCGAAAATAATGTCTTCAGCCCCAGTCCCTTAAGAAGGACCCCTCGTGCAGAGATATAAAACAAAATAAAATATTATTACTATTAATTTAATAGTAAATTTCAATAATCAATGATATTACGTACAAATTAAAGATAATTAAAACTCAATGTTCGTCTTTCGAGACGCAACATGTGGAAAAGAAAGTAAGTAAAAATTTTATCATTTTTTAAAATTTTTACTATCAACTTATCCAGAGATCATCCTTATTCGGCGTGATAACTGTACTACCAGCACTACTGTGGTGGCTAAAAGTGCAACTATAATCTGTTAAGAAAGTTTGGGAGAAAAGCTCAACATGGAGAAACGTACTAAGAAAAATGTATGTTATATTTGAGCATGTTAGAAGTGCAAATGAATTTTTTCAGATTTTTCACCAGGGGAAATTTTCGAGAAAAAAATTATGAAATATTGACAGTTTAACACGGTCTTGCCTTTTAACAGTTTTGCCTTTTAATTGAAATTAAGGTATATTCTAAATGTGTTGGAATAAAAAAAAACGTTTGCATAGATTACTTGGTAAAAAAAGGAAGATGCTCGACAAAAAAAAACAAGCCTTGTCAGGCATTTTCCGAAAATACAAGCAGTTACAATCGTACAGTTTCAAGTTTGTAGAGTGCAAGAAGAGGTGCGCGGAAACGGGGTCTACTTGCGCGGACAGGGGCGACTCCCCGTTCCTCGCCTCTCTGAATGATACTCTCAAACCTTCTTAAAATGATCGTAGTGTCTATTCACACCGTATATCCACGTAATTACGTGGGATTCGTTCCGTAAGCACTGGCCTATTATCTAAGTATTTAGATAATGTGTAGATAACTTATGAATGTGAGAGAGATAACATGTCATACTTCTTCCCTTGCACTTAAATGTCATCTAGGATACCGAGATACTTGAAGATTAAGGGCTGGAGCTTAAACGCACCCATGGATATACTGGATACGCATGCAAGATGGGCAACTCGACTGTCCGGTACTTATAGGGTCCAAATTTATTTTTTTTCCGAACGAGCGAAGCGCATTTGTATACGTAAATATAAGGTGCGAGTAGACAAAGCGTAAAATTACATCGTTTTTGAGATTTCTTGCGGGCTTCATGGTAATTGTAATGTGTTCTATATTTTGTACTGTCAACATAATAAATTATTAACTTTGATTTATTCACTTATTTATTGTATTAGGCTAAACTTGAATTATGACGAAGCTGGCCAAAATTTGAAAACAAGGAGAAAGTAGCAGGTTATAGTTACATTTTCAACTACGAGGGCAGCGCTGGTAGTACTATTATCTAGAAAGATTATAAGTGAGTGTAGCTAAAGTGTACGAAAGTCACTGATTGGTTCCACCATTTTTTTGGACTACCTGAGAAAATAACAAGCCAAGCGGAGATGTGTACACTGAAAAAGATTCAGCGTGCTGGCTATACTCTAATATAAGTGACAGCAGCTCCCCTCTTCATGAGTGGATAATCCACTGAAACGGAGTAACAGAGGTGCTTTTTACTCGTAGCGCTACTGTGTCGACCACTATGCATAACCACTATACGTATGATCGGAGTAGAGGCTACTCCGATTTGGAGTAATAATTAGGCTGTGTTACACATGCTAAGGGTGCAGAACAGTGCCTGCCGAAGTATAAGAAACCGTGAGAGAGAGAGAGAGAGTAGAGTAGAGTAGAGTGGATTTATTAGGCTAAGGACCAAAGGTCCATAGTAGCCTAGAGAGAGACGGAGGTCTGCCGAAAAGCAATTCCACAGACCTCTTTCTCACTCCCACGGTATCTTATGCATTTGGCAGGCCTTATTCTGCACCATGTAATTAATTTAATTTAATTTTTTTTTAACCTCGCAAATAAATCGAAACAATATAATAACGGTAAAGTGGGCAGATATTTTTTTTTATATGGATGTGAGTTGATTAATAATTCAAGCAAAATAAAGATTTGATACCATTTTTAGTATGATTGCGATTAAATTTAATTTTTGACTCATTTTCAAGAACATTAAACACCTCGCACATTTTTAAAACTTGTTTTAATGCAATAGTTTGTAACAAATTTTTTTTTGAACAAGTAGAGATCGCATTAGCTTTTAGTTATCTATGTCTCGATTCAAATCGCATACTCCAAAAATGTATACAAGGACCAAAATACTCTAGAATTGAGATATAGTGAGTTAAAAAGTGAAATTTCAGTTTTGATTTACCATAAAACTTTAAATAAAGTGAATTTAATTCTTTCACGAAACTCTTGGAAACATGGAATCATATTTGATAAAGAACGCATCCATTGTCCAATTTAATTACAAAACTAAAAAACTTACACTGAACTAAAGTGATAAGCTCACGTGTTCATGATGGATGCCGAACAAAAAGAGTAACGGCTACTCAGTTGCAAATATACTCGACAAACCCGATTGATTAATGTGGTCGGTACACTTAGTCAGAGAGTATATTACGTCGATCGGAGTAGCTGGTACTCCGATGAAAAGTATAGGTGCTGCCATGTCAAATATGAGTAGCCTCTAAACTTGAAGAGTAGGGGGCGCGCCGAATCTTTTTCAGTGTATGTGTTTGTGTGTAAGTCTGTGTTTCCCTCTCCACCGCTTCTCTCACATGCGCGGTACCGAAAATAATGTCTTCAGCCCCAGTCCCTTAAGAAGGACCCCTCGTGCAGAGATGTCAACCCACGTCGTAGGTCACAAATATGCTCACAAAACTCAGGCACATTTGGCATCAGTTGCGTAAGAGAACATAGGCTAACCTGTAAAAATAAAATGACTCGATCCATTTTCTAAAGAATATCTCGAAATTTTCCAGGGTAATACTTCATTGGATAGGTGTCGTTTGAAAGAAGAAGTTGTTTTCTACAAAATGTTTGCACTTTTATTACGATATTCACTAGTTTATTCAAGTTATTAGGGTACTTTCATCGTGTGTGCAAAATCTGCCATAAGAATACATGTTAGAAAATGCTACAGAAACACCCTTAATATCTTGAAATGGGTAAGCGATGTAAATAATTATACCATTGGATTTAGTGAATTTTCAGATAAAAAATTAAATCGGTCTTGGTTCAGGAACTATCACGGGGCAGCCTCTTTAAAACTATACTAGGGGTAAAAATGTAGTTTAGCCCACTCTCCGAGAAATTAGCTTGAAAAAAGACAGTGCTACCGTAACAACGTAAGGTGCCAAATTCAAAAGTGTAAGTTGTGAGAAATGACCAAATTATATCGATATTTTTGGAAAACATGAAAAGAAAGGTGATAAATATAATCAGTTATGGCTCCCTCGCAAGCTTCACTCGCTCGTTTGCTTTGTAAAAGATTACCAAATCCAATGAAGGGGGAGATTCCGAATTTTGTGGCACTGCAATCTGAGTGTGGTTTCTTACGTACATTGATGCCAAAAATACAGGAAAAATAATAGAAAAATTTCTTCTTACCTCCTTTTCGAGATATCAAACTCAACAGTCGAAAAAATCATATTTTGTATACATGCGAAATAAGGGTTACTTCTTGCTTATTTGATAGTGATGAATATGAAAAAAATACTAAAAAAATTTCTAGTTACGTACATTTTTATTTTGCTTCATTTTAAATGTGTATTTCTCCTTTAAAAACATTTCAGGTGTGTTTTTTTCGTATAAAGCATGTTAAAAATAATATTAATTAAGAAAATAACAAATCGTTGAAGGAGCAAAAAAATAAAAAGTTGGCTAACTTTGGATGTAATTGCGGATGTTTTGACATTGTTACACGCACAGAACGAGCCACAGAACAATAAACAGTACATACTTAGAGATGTTACAAGATTTACCGAGTACACTGAGCTTTTGTATTTGAAATTTTTACGCGCTAAAAAAAACAGTGACCGATAGAGGCACTGCATGCTCGATGAAGCGCTCGAGAATTTGAATTTTGAATAGCCCTTATATAAAGAGCGTATCAGATACCAAGCTAATAAAAATAGGTAATACACTTTGATCTGTGTCAGTGTGCCGGAAAGCTATGGTAAAATTAATATAAATTTCATCGTTTTTAAATCAATTAACAATATTCGTTCTTAAAGTGTTTTTTATATTAAATTACAATATATATAAAATGTGTTTTTCGACAATCAAGGCGCAACATCTCGAAAAAAAAGCGAGTAGAATTGTTTTAGTTACTTTTTTTCATATTTATTACTATCAAATAAGCAAGAAATAACCCTGATATCGCATGTATACAAAATATGATTTTTTCGACTTTCGAGTTCTATATCTCGAAAAGAAGGTAAATAGGAATTTTTTAATTATTTTTCCTGTATTTCTGGCATCAACATACATAAGAAAGCACACTTAGATTGCGGCACCACAGAAATCGGAATCTTGCCAGTTCGTAGCACTGTCGTTACAAGCTTGTTATGAAGCCAACTTCTCAAAAGATGGGCTAAACTGCACATCTGCCAAAACTGTAAATGCGATAAAATCTCATCAGGTTTATGCTTTAAATCAACTAATTATCTAAATTACTTAACTCTAGTAAAAAAAGTAGAGCAATATCATATCAGTTACACAAAAATCTTCAGAAAAAGTTCTTCACACTGTTCTTACCAAACAACACCAAATGCACCATACCCTATAGGTCGATCAGGCTGAATAGATTCATAAGCAGCAGGTTGTGATTGAGCTTTTCCAGAATTAGTATGGTAGTAAGTTGTTAAGGATTGAGATACAGCAGCAAGAATCGTTTGAGAAGAATTCGCTTCTGCTGCACCTCCTATTGTGCTGCTATTCTGCATCAATGATGTGGACAAGTTCATTGACAATAACCCACATTACTTGACACCACTAACACCTTCAATGAGTACTAAAATCTTAAGATAAAGGTCATCCTTATTCGTGATTTTACTTATGTCACTAATGCTCATAGTATTAATACTTTGAAAATTATTGTATGATACACTTGTAATTCATAAAATGTTCACTAAATCAGTATGAGCTACTGTTACATATCAAGTTTCTTAAAGTATATTTACCTATAATTCAAGTACTTTTTTTTTAACTTATTTAAGACAACACAATAATTCTTGCTCAAAATGCTTTGACAACGCAATAGATACCATTGTAAAAAACATAGGTTAAGAAAGACTAACCTGTAAACATTAGGATCAAAAGAAGGAATTGACTAATTTTTGTCAACAAAGTAGATAGCTACAAATAAAGTGAGCAGGCCTTCAATAACGGTCTATTCACGGTGGAGCCAGTAAGCAAAAAGCACTGGGCACGATTGTTCGTTTCGTTCGTTTCGCTTTTACAGTTCGCTGATATCTACTAAGATAGCTCAAATATTTTGTATTCATTGGCTTGGGTCATCCACATCTGAAAGTAATAATAGTCGCCAACTGTCACAAAGGTTCTAAATTATTCTCTTTTATATTATTATGTGAGCTTATTTTAAAATAGGCAACACGTCCAACGAGCACAAGAAACGACTGAACAGCACAAACTGTAAGAGCGAAACAAACGAAGCGAACGAACAAACGATGAAAATCGAACCAGAGATAAGTAGGGAGATTGCCAGTGCCAATGTTGGGTGAGGAGGATATGATTTTGCATTTTTATCGCTAGGACCTATAAATAGCTACAAATCCTAGTGAGAAAAATGCAAAAGCTGAATAGGAAGAAGGAGGAGGAGGAGGCCAGTGGTTCTCCCCAAATGTGACTGGCGTACTTGTGGGAAATTCAAATTGACAGTGTGGTGCAAGCAAGACGCAAATACCCAGATAACTCGACACAATTACGTGCACAATAACTTAATAAACTAATCCCAAGCTATTTAACCCAATAACCCAATGGGCCAATAAGCAGCCTCATAAGTTTAAAAAAATAATAAAATTTATTAATTAACAGAGCAAGCGCCAATCCCCACACAACCCAAGGCACTTACTGGTTGCTTTAATTGTTTATGATGAATAAAATAATACCGCAAGCGCCTATCACCACACAACCAGGGGAGCTTACTGGTTGCTTACTTAATTTACTATAAATAAAATTATGATGCCAGTGCCTATTCCCACAAGACCCGGGGCGCCTACTGGTTGCTTTAATTATTTACAATAAATAAATTAATGTGAACGCTAATCCCCACATGACCTGAGAGGCTTGCATTATTCAATTGATTTTAAATAATTATAGTGACCAGTAACCACCCCTGGTGATGTGGGGATAGGCGCTTGCGGTATTATTTTATTTTTAGTAATTTAAGTAAGCGATCAGTATGCTCCCCCGGTTGTGTAGGGATGATAGGCGCTTGTGGTATCATTTTATTCATCATAAATAATTAAAGGAACCAGTAAGTGCCCCTGGTTGTGTGGGAATGGGCACTTTTGTGGTATTATTTTATTCATTATAAATAATTGAAGCAACCAGTAAGTGCCCCTGGTTGTGTGAGTATAGGCGCTCGCGGTATTATTTTATTCGTCATGAATAATTAAAGCAACCAGTAAGCGCCTTGAGTCGTGCGGGGATTGGCGCATGCTTTGTTAACTAATAAATTTTATTACTTATTTAAACTCATGAGGCTGCTTATTGGCCCATTGGGTTATTGGGTTAAATAGCTTGGGATTAGTTTATTAAGTTATTTTGCACGTAATTGTGTCGAGTAATCTGGGTATTTGCGTCTTGCTTGCACCACACTGCCAATTTGAATTTCCCACGAGTTTGCCAGTTACATTTGGGGAGAACCACTGGCCTCCTCCCCCCTCCTGTCCTGCTTTTGCATTTTTCTCACTAGGATCTGTAGCTGTATATAGGTCCTAGTGACAAAAATGCAAAATTATATCCTCCTAACCCAACAATGGCCAGTGCCTATGTTAAAGAGTGTGCCGATGTTTCGGCGCTGATTTGAGCAGAGGAACCGTGCACATGTTTTCTATTGGCTGGCGGCTTGTCGGCTCGGCTCGCGGGGAGAGGTAAGGGGAGATCAGTGAGGGAGACATGAGAATCCAAATGTGTGCATCGGTGATGGAGATGGAGATGGAGGAGAAGCTAAACCTATATGTTAATGCATACAACAAGCTATATATCTATAGCTGTAGTTGTACACTGCTAATACGGAAAAGATCTGGGCGTATTACTTTTCTCGCTTTTCCTCCCTGATAGAAAGATAAGCTTTTTAAATGCAGTTGATCATTCGTTCAACTATAATAAACAAAAAAATAATTGTCAGGTTATTAGCAATTTTTTTTTTTCATTTTTCAAAAAATGACAAGCTCAACGCAATTAACATATTATTATGCTTTATTAATAAACAAACGCCATTATCCCAATAATCCGGTGCGCTCAATTGTTCTTCACTTTTACGATAAGTGAAATTATTGAATAATAAATGAAGGCATTTACCACAACGACACAGTACGCACAAATATTTTTTGTACTAAGTAATATTATTTACTAATATACCGAACACCTTTACTCGAACGCTTCATTGCACTGATATCTTAATTTGTTAATTTATATTTTTTCACCATTAATACATAGCTTAACGGCAATAATACGATAAAGCTTAAATTAAATTTCAAGCTTCGAAACTTTACGATAAACATATGTAACTTTTAGTCTCACGATATCCTAAGCGTCAATAGCTGAGAGGGCTAGAGCAGGAGGTTGAATTTTAGTTTTGCGGCCCTGGGTTCCTATCTCACTTGGAGCAAATTTTTTTTTTTTTTTTTTTTCATTTCAACATTACTTTAAATGTTCATACGTTTTTTTTTTATGATTACTTACGTATTTTGTTTTATCAGTAACTAAAAACATTTTTTTTAATTACTGTTTATGAAGAAGTAATTATTAAAAAAAAAAGTCTTTACAGCTTTGGTTGTAGTAATACCTGTAATAGGTTATTATGAAAAAATGCACGTTCTCTCTGTAATTTTTCCGGGCTGGAGACCGACACACTAACTGTGGCTACATTACGCGCGCGTTTTTTTTTTTTTTTTTTTTTTTTTTTTTTTTTTTTTTTTTTTTTTTTTTTTTTTTTT